CCCCAAAACCCCAAAACCCCAAAACCCCAAAACCCCAAAACCCCAATAACCAGCACAGGTCTGGAGATCTATGTCAAATGATTATTATGTGCTAATTTTGCTAAACATTATGTCTTGTAAGCTGAATTCCTCACTAATAGTCACTTTCCTGTCTGTTTGTAAATTAATAAGATCTAAAATAAAGTAATAACTCAAAGGCATACCCTTAATAGTTCTTTTGAAGCGGTTCAGCTTACGTCTCTCCTGATTTATTTTCCGAGGTGTACTCTACACAAAGTATTGTCATTATACTACTAAATTTTGGAGGGTAATACCCGTTGAATTCCATGAATCAAAAATTCTTACCTTCAACAATTGCGAGTAATCAATGCTCTTTTTCAGGTTAATTTTCCGAGATCGCTGTTGGTCCTTCTCAGAATCATTAAAAATACTGATATCTTGAATCTTGTAGTTCATCAAGGAATCCATTAGAGAGTTCTTCTTGATTCTTCTTCTAGGTTTGATTTTCTTGGAGATTAATTTGCTGCCAAATTTCTCCTGCTGAGTCAACTGGCTCTTGTTCATATCTGCTTCTGAGGGATTCTGAGACTGAGTTCCAACACATAGGCTGTAACTCTTGAGGTTCTCAGTGTGTCTTCCTCCAGTAAGTCGTTGCAGCAGCCTCTTTACCTTCTCTTTTTGAAGAGTAGGAGATGAACTATGGAGATTTGATAAGAGTTAATGAGATCTCCATCGGAAACACAAATTTGGCAATGAATTTGAGATAAATACCAATTTTTGGGGTATTTAGTCCGAAGTAGCACAAACCGCTTTCTTACTTAAACAGAGAGCCAAAATTTTACACCTAATTTTACTTACATTTGGTCTGAATAAACTCATATGCTACTCGAGATACCTCTTTTTGTTAAGAAATTGCTCTCAAGATGTCCAAAATCTAAATGGTTCCCACTCTTTTTCATCGCAGACATATTTAGATTATTAATCTTTGATATTTTGAATTGATTCTTTGGAGTTTGGATATCAGGAAGAGGTGTCCTCTTCTCTTGATTCGAGAGCAACAGTCTCGATGGTGATATTCTCTGGGATTCTATATACCAAATTAGCATTCGGATAAGGCAAAATGTAATTTCTGGTGGTATTCCTAAGGCTATATTTTCTTAGAGTTTTCAAGAATCCCTTAACTTATTCTGAAAATAGCTCTTTCAAACTACTTTATCAAAAATTATAAGTATTTTTGATGAATCGCTCTTAAACATTAGAGCAATATGTTAAGTCAAAATTTTAATATATAAAATCCAGCGAGGCTTCACCGAGTTATGCTGGTGAAATTTGATGAAAAATACCTATTCTTGACTTCTTGGACAACCTCATTTTGATTTATATTCTATGGGATTTGCATTAGGATTAATACAGGTAAGATAATTTCCTCATGAAATGAGGCGAAAAGCTTCCAAAAATGACCTAAAAGTAGGTTTACATAGATTCTAGGTTCCGTTCAGACCAAAAAGAGATAAATAGAAATTCTGAAAGTATCTGGATAGCTCCATTTCTTACCTTTACGATATTTTTCAACTTTTTTGTATTTATGTGGGGTTTTGGGGTTTTGGGGTTTTGGGGTTTTGGGG